CTCTCTTAGGCTTGGCTTCTAGGGCAGTGGCTCCCAAACCCTGGCATGAATCACATCACCTGGAGGGCTTGTTAAAATATGGATTTCTGGGCTTCATTCCCAAAGTTCTGACTCAGTAGGTCAGACAAGTTTATGTTTCTAACAAGTTCCCAGGTGATGCGCATGTTGCTGGTCCAGTGATCACAGATTGAGAACCACTGTTCTCAAGAACCTAACTTAAGATAGAAACTATTCAACAAGTAATGGGCAAAGTAGTTTAACCTGGGGCAAGATTTAATCTTGCCCCAGCCAGCCTACCTTCCAGCTCAAAACCCTGCAGCCAAGAATAGCAGACATCAGGCTTCTAATGACAGACCTTTGTACTCTGGGCTGGGGGTGATTACAATTTGCTAAATCCTTTTACTATGCTCTATAGGAGCTCAGAGCCCACAGTCTAGGACGGACACCAAAGTCACAGGGCCTTGGTGTGTACGTTCATCATTTACACAAAATGAGCCTCAGAGGTCAGCTGCATTGACTGTGATTCTTGGATCACAAAATAAGTCAGAAGTCTGGTCTAGGTATGCCTAAGTTTATATGTAGAAGGGAGGGCTGGGGAGCCCCTATAGAGCAGCCCATCCAACCCTTTCACTTACAGACAGGAGCAAAGAGGCCGAGAAATCGGATCAAGACAATTTAACCTGCAAGCACAGGAAATAGAAGTGCTCGACTTAAAGGCAAGACAGGGCCTTGCTGTAGCAAGCAGTAGCTGTGAGCAATCCTACTAACTTGAACTCTAGTAATAGCCCTGTGAAAGATAGTCCGTTAACAGCTTCAATAAGACCCCAAGGCCTGAAGAGAATTATCCTATCACAACAACAGCAATAGGACAGCTTAGTGCTCACATGTGTAGACTCCAAGCACATGGACCCTGACCATAGTTCACAGGGAGGCCAGTCAACAAAGTAACACTAACAGCCTGAAGGAAAGTATTATGGCAGACCAGAGGTATGAACTGTGGCCCAATGACGACAGCCTAAACCTGCTTCTCTCACAGTCTCCCTCATTTCAGGGACAGGCCCCCTTCTAATAGTTGTTCAGCCAAAAAACTTGGGAGTTATCCTTGCCTCCTTTCTTTCTCTAATACAGCATAACTAATCCAAGAGCAAATCCCACTGAGATACAGTCATACAGTTTTAGTCAATGATGAACCACATATACAATGGTGGTCCCCTAAGATTATAATACCATAATACCATATTTTTACTGTACCTTTTCTACATTTAGATGTGTTTATATACACAAATACTTACTATTGTTACAATTACCCACAGTACGCTGTACAGTAAGATGCTGCATAGGTGTGTATACTAGGAGCAATAGGCTATACCATATAGCCTAGGTGTGCAGTAGGCTGTACCACCTAGGTTTGTGTAAGTACACTCTACAATGTTCCCACAATGATGCAATCACCTAATGATGCATTTCTCAGAACATATACCCACTGTTAAAAGACTCATGACTGTATATGTGTTTGTATATATTTACATACACATATATTCTAAATCATGTCTCACCACCTTTACTGCTCATGATTCAAGCCACCATCAGCTCTCTTCTAGACTACTTGCAGTCACCTCCTAACTGGTCTCCCTGCTTCCACACTTGCTTCTTTGAATCTATTCTCAAAATAACAGCCAAAGAGATCCCATTAAAACATAACTGAGATCATGGTATAGCTCTACTTAACCCCCAAAGGCTTCCATGTATCTACAGTAAAAGCTAGTGCATTCAGCAGCCTCCCAGGCCCTAAATGACTGAGCCCTTTCTTCCTCCCTCACTCCCTCTTCTCCCTCATCCAACTCCAGCCTCAGCCAGCAACATGCTCCCTCTGCAGGGCCTATCTAAGACTGCTCTCTCTTTGCATTTGCTCCCACGGATCAAAGGGCTTATTCTCTGTCTCCTCCCAAATGTCATCTTTTCTAAAATGTCTTCCCTGGCTACCTCTTTATAAAATAGCAGCCCTGTCCACAGGGCTCCCTATCACCCTTCCATGATTTATTTTTCCTTGTAGCACTTATAACCCTCAGATATGTTATATATTTACTTGTTTTGTTGTTGTGGGCTCCCTCTTCCCACTAGAAGGGTAAGCTCCATCACTAGACTCTGCAGGTAGTTTCCTGGGTTAAATTCCTACCCAGCCTCTTACTAGATGCATAAACTTGAGTAAATAACTTCCCTGAGTGAGTTTCCTCATCTGTAAAATGAGAGTAACAATAGTATTTCCCACTTCAAACTCTTACCTAAAATACTTACAAAAATGTTTTGCACAAAAGAAGGATAATAACAAAAGCTTATTGACCCTCCTATTGCTATTATTATTGTTATTAATAGTAATAGTAGTGCTAAGCAAATATTGAGTATCTTCTGTATACCAGTACTATTCTAGCTATAGGGATTATAAAGTTCCTTGCTCTCATGAGATTTATAATCTATTGTGGAAGACAAATAATAGGGATTCAAACAAAATTACCAGAAATACAAAGAAATAGGACAAAATTATCAAATTTCAAAAGAAAAATAGACAATAGCAACAGACTCACAGGTGATGCAGATAGCAGAGTTACTAGATGGGGACTTTAAAATGACAGTGGATAATATGCTTAATTAAGAAAATAAAGAAAAAGATAAAAAATTCAAAAAAGTCTACTTGAAAAAAGGAATAGAAATTCTAAAATGATAAAACAAAATAAGTAAAATTAAGAATTTATTAGACAGGCTTAATAGCACATTAGTCATGATAGAAGAGGAGAAACATGAACTGGAAGATGGAACAAAAGAAAATATCTAGATAGAAGCAGAGAAAGAGAAAAATGGAAAAAATAGAAAAAGCTATAAAACACAAATATAGTGAAAAATCTGTTATATTAATATATGTAACTGGAGTCCCAGGAGAGAAAAAAGAGCTTGGAACAAAAGCAATAATAGACAATAATTTTAAAAACTGATAAAAGATACTAATCTACAACCAGAGGAAGCTCTACATATCCTAAGCAGAATCATCAAAGAAAACCACACTTAGGCACATCATAGTCAAACCATTAGAAATCAATGAAGAAAAAAAAAATCTTTTAAAAAGTTAGCAGTTTTAGGGAGTGAGAGGGAAGTAGCCAGAGATTTAAAAAAAAAAAAAAAAAGATACATTATCTTCAAAAGAGTAACAATAAAACTGTCAGCTGACTTACTAACAAAGATGCTGAAACCCTAAGGCAATAGAATATGTCTAAAGTGCTGAAATATAAACCACTAATCTAGAATTCTATGCCCATTAAAAATACCTTCAAAAATAACTGCTAAATAAAGACATTTCCAAACAAAAAACTAGAAAAAAATTTAACACACCTACTAAAGAAATACTAAAGGGAGTTCTTTAAGTAAAAGAAAAATGTGAATAGCAACTAAATTACTCCTCCACAACTAAATAAAATTGCTGCAACTAAAATAAAAAAATTGTAAGAAAAGATTAAAAACTCCAAATACATGTTGATTACAAGAGATAAGCTTTAAGTATATACTGGGCCATAAGGAAATTTCAACACATATCAAGGGACTGAAATCACAAAGAGCATATATATCACCAGAGTAGAAATAAGCTAGAAATAAAAAAAAAAAGGTAATCAGAAATATACTCCAAATGTTTTGAATTAGTCAATATATGGTTAAATAACTCATGGGTCAAAGAAAAACCACAATGTGAATTAGAAAATATTTTAACTAAATTATATGAATATATACCATATTAACCTGTGGAATACAGACAAAGCATTACTTAGAAGGAAATCTGTAGCTTTAAAAGATGTTACAAAAAAAGAAAGTTGAGAATAAGTTAAGATCCATATCAATAAATCAGAAAATAATAACAAATTAAACTCAAAGAATGAAAACAATAAAAATAAGAGCACAATGAAATAGGAACTATATAAACCCAAAAATTGGCTCTTTGAAAATATTATACAGCTGATATACTCCTAGTAAGACTAGTTGAGAGAGAGAGAGAACACAAATTACCAACACCAGGAATGAAACAGAGCACTGCAGAGCTCATAAACTTTAAAGTGATAAAAGGATAATGTAATTACACAATTTTATGCTGACAAACTTAAAATATAAATAAAATGGTCAACCTCCAAATAAAACTTGCCAAAACTAATACAAGAATTGAAAATTTGAATTAAAACAATTTTTTAATTATAATATATAATTTGAAATCTTTCAGCTCAATGCTCAGAAGTTTTCTCCAGTAAATTCTTCCAAATACTTAAGGAAGAAATAATACCAATCTTACACCGACTCTTCAAGAGAATAGAAAAAGAGGGACCACTTTTGTTATAACCTAGGTACCAGAATCTGACAAGGCTGTGTGTTGCAAGAAAGGAAATATGCCAGCCAATCTCCTTCATGAACTTTTACACAGAAACCATACCTGAAATATTAATAAATCAAATACAATGATATATAAAAACATAACATCACAACAAAGGTGGGTTTATTCTGGGAACATAAGGTTGGTTTAACATTCAAAAATCAATCAAGATAGGAATCATCAATGCCTACTGTGAAGGAATAAAACTAAAGATAATGTAAAAAAAAATAATAAAAATAATGCCTAAAAGGAGCCTTGTGGGAGCTGATTCATCACTGTATCCCTGGCCCTCCATAGGGAACATCTTTTATTCACTTCTGCCTGGCCATGTCCCTGCAGGTTTGTTTCTGACTATCTGCTAAAGCTTTCCTTGGCTTTGGGAAGAAGTGAGAAGGGGCAAGGAAACGTCCCATGCAGCTCTTCCTGGCTAGTTTTCTTCCCAGTTGGCCATAATCAACCCTACGTTGCCTACCTCACAGGCTTGCTACGAGAGACCAAGGCACCTAAGAAGTCCCTGGGGAAGCTATTAGCAACTGGTCAACATGTGAGAGGTGGCACTCCTTTTTGAAAAGCCATCAGCTTTGCACAGCATGCTCACCTGACAGGCGGGGGCTGGCTGCCCTGCCGTTTGAATGCTCTCTCCAGCCTCTCCTGGGTCATCCTGGAACTCCCACCAGGCAAGCACAATTTCAAGGGCGTCCTGTCTGTGTCTGTGCTGCTGTCCACTGCTGGGCTGTCCTCTGAAAGATCTTTCCACCTGGCCTTCTCCCCCTGGGGCAGCCCTTTGCTGGGCAGGTGGGGAGGGCTGCTGGGAGGGGTTTTCTGCTTTTCTATGATCAGTTCACTTAGCTGACCCAGGAGGCTCCTGGAGTTGGAGCTGTTGCTCAAAGCTGGGATGTCCTGGGGGGCTGGACAGGCTGAGGGGCAGGTGGCAAGCTCAGGCACCTTCCGGCTCTCCTCCTCCTGGGGCTGTATGGTGCTGCTCAAGGCTGGAGACCTCCTCAGAGAGCGTTTGCGGAAAGAATCCTAAAAGGGTGAGGACAAAGGCAGTGAGGCCCCCTTCTAGGGGAGCTGGAAAATACTTGCTCTCACTTCAAGCATTTGTCCATGATGTTCCCTTCCTCAGGAATGGCTTTTCCCATCTCTAACTACTTACCTTAAAATGATACCTATCCTTTGAGGTGCTACTCAAATGTTCCCTCTTCTGTGAAGCTTTAGCTGATACCAACCCCCCTGTGTGAACCCCTGAGTGGGCCTCGGCCTTTCCCTCACACCCTCCACAGATAGCAGGTTCACGTGGCAGGTAAAGCTGACACTCCAGTTTCTAATTCCTGTAGCACTCCCACCAGCTGTGTCGCTTGTGGCAAATGATTTAACTTCTCTATCCTTCACTTCCTCACCTGTAATATAACCAGTCCACAATCCAATACCTATCATTTCTAAATCCCAAAACTTCTGAAAATGAACGTATCTTTTGAAATTCTGTGGCAAATTTGTTTTAACTATTGTAAGGATATTTATAGTCTTTTTAAAGTGTGCGTATTCATATGTTTAGCTGCAGAAATAGTAGTATTTTTTTGCTTATGGGGTGCTACCACAAATCCTACTACAAGCCTTATGTGGTGTGTGGTTCATGCACTGTACTTCCTTTCTCAAAAAAAAAAAAAAAAAAAAAGAATTCTAAATTCCAAAACACATCTGGTCCAAAGGTTTCAGATGAAGAATGGGGCACTTGTGGTACTTATCTCCCGCAAGACAGTGTAAGGGTTAAATGAGACACTAGCACCTTACTAGACACTAGTAAGGCACTAGCACAGAGCCAGGCGTATCACAGCAGTCAACACTCACTCACTAGTCCTGCACTTGTCTACCCTGTCCCCACTTACATATGGTCTTATGCCCCTCCTAACAGTAGACCAGGAATGGCAGAAGCCATTCTTCACTCATATCTGGTGTCCACACAACTCACAGCCTGGTGGCCTATGCCTAGTGAGCATTCAAGATTTGCTTAATTTGTTAAAGAAAGTAATTCCAGAAGGATCAACGGGAATATCCTCTTATGCTCAATGATTAGTTGATGAAATGGAAACTCATATGGTTACTAATCAGTGGTGGGTGAAGGGTAGGAAGAGGAACAAAAATAGACATACTAGGTTTTTCCTTAGCTTAAAATGCTGGACCTCTCAACCTTTTCAGAAGTAATTCAGGACCAAATAGTAAAGCCTGGTCTAAAATAAGGAAAGCTAATTTTGTAGTATTCCGGCCTAGGGGAAATTACTGGGCACTATAAACCTCCTCCAAAGGCCACCCAGGGCATCCCCTGCACAGAATAAGGAAGGCATTAGTCACCATTTCCATGGAGACTCAAACTTCTGGCCTAGAGGAGCTAGAACTGCCGCAGGGAGCCCAGCCTCTAAAGTCATCCTTAAGTACAGAGTTGATCTAGCAATAAAAATGATGAACTACCCAGCAATCCTTGGCTCTTTTCTCTTGAGCAACCAATAAGTACGGCCAAGATACTCAAAGGCCTACAAAATGCTTTCCAGAAAATGCAACAAAATTCTACAGCTACCTCTTCCTTCAATATCTTTCACAGGATTCAGATACTCCAGAGGAAAACCCCACCTCCCAAAACAATTACCCAAAAGGAGCAGTTCGCAGCAATGCCCTTGGCAGTAAAACAGGTTCAAGTTACCTCCCTCATCCCACAATTACAAAGGGGGTCTCAATTGCACACACTTGATGATTAGGATGTCATGGTAGGGCAGGACCCTGGCATCACCTACTCCACCACTTCTCAAAAGATGATCCACTGATCCCTAGGAACTTCCAGGCCCTTTTAGGGAACTTGAAACTATTTTCATAGTAATAAAAATGACATGATTTGCCTTTTTTCACTATGTTGACTTTGCATGCAAAGCAACAGTGGGAAAAACTGCTGGCCCTGGGCATGAATCAAGGCAGTGGTATCGAACTTTAGTAGTACTCGGGGTATTCTTCACCACCAAGCACTTGCAATAAAAATAAATGAATAAAGTGCTACTTTCACTGAACAATGTCCATACTAAACATAAAAATTATTGATTTTATTCAATCTAAACTCCACAGCACATATCTTTCAATACGCTGTGTGATCAAATGGGGGGTACACATAAGCATGTGCTGAGTGCAGAGGATGCGGCTGTCAGCATGCAACCATTTCAGCTGTGAGTGAACTCGCTGGGTTCTCCATGGAACCACTGACAGACAAACTATGGTTATTCAGGCTTGAGCATTTGGCAGGCGTTTTATTAAAAATCAACTGAGCCTTTCACTTCAAGCAAAACAGATGATGTATAGTTGCAATGATAAAATACAAGCTGTCAGGTAAATTTAGAGTTTTGGAAAACTTGTATCTGCTACCATGAGCCAAAGGGCTCTGCAACACTGAAAAACTGTTCTGATGACTTAGGTGGTAACATCAATGAATGCAGTTTTTTGGGGTGATTTTTTTACATATATAATAAAATGTGTCCACATTGGGAAGATCTATTAACTCAGCAACCAATATTTTCCAAATGACCATGCATCATGTTACCAAATCACACAGAGTAAAAAATTCAGAGTGCAATACAGACCAATGGACATTGGCAAAATACAGAAAGTTCACTGATATGGTTTAAGATTCTACGTTAAGAAACTACAATTTGTCTAGTGCTGGCTTAGGATCAAAAAGAACACCTCAGTTTTCTGAAAAGGCTATTAAAATACTTGTTTTCTCTTTTCCAACTGCTTATCTGTGTGAGATAGATTTTCTTCATACATTTCAACCAAAACACCACATTGTAACAGACCAAATACAGAAGCAAATACGACGCTTGAACTGTGTTCTACTAAAGATAGTAAAGAGATTTGCAAAATATATATAAAACAATTTGCTACTCATCCCACTAATTTTTTGTTTTGGAAAATATAGTCAATTTTTAATTAAAAATATGTTATTGTAAGGCCAGGTGTGGTGGCACATGCCTATAGTCCTAGCTACTCAGAAGGATGAGGCAAGAAGATTGCTTGAGCCCAGAAGTTTGAGGCCAGCTGGGGAGACATAGCAAGATTTCATCTCTAAAAAAATAAAAAAATAAAAATTTCAATGTTGTGTTAAATGTAATGAGTTGACTACTATTGTTTTTAATTATTTAGAAAGTAAATATCTTTTAATTTCTCAGTTTTAATTTCTAATACAGTAAATATCAATAGACATAACCCACATAAATAAAAGTTCTTTGGGCTCTTCAATAATTTTAAGAGTATAAAGAGATCCTCAGACTGAAAAGTCTGAGAACTGCTGATATAGTCTCTCAACCAGACAGGGCCCCTTGAGAGTGTCCCCACCAGACAGGGTACTAGCTTCTCCTTAATACAACTAGCCTAGTCCCTTCCAAAACAACCTGTTTCACTGCCGGGGCAGCTCTGACTAACTGGGAGCAGCTGCTATACCAACCACCCCCGACTGGAGCCAGCTGTGCTCTTTGGAGCCAAGTCTACACCACTCAATCCAGGGAAGGGCCAGAAAGCACAACCCATGCGCTACACATGAACACAATAGAGTCCCTGTTCTCAGGGGACTTACGGACTAAGCTCAAGATTGCTAAAAAGGGTTCATCTCACATAGAAGTAGGCTATTCTTACCTGCATATGTGAAAAGATCTCTTACATTCTGCCAACCTCCATCAAGATTAAACATCTCTAAACCTTTTAATTTCCTTCAAACTCTTCACCTTTCTAGCCCTTTCTTCTTGACAGGGTACTGTCTACAAATGTCCCCTTTCAACAACAAGACACCTGGGATGGGACATGACATCAAGGTGTGGCCTAAACCACACAGAGGCAAGCAGACTCTTCCTTGATCTGGACACCAAGACTCTATGATCATAATAGTGAAAAACCCAGAGCCCCAGGGGGTCTTCCACAGCTGGTCTAACAAGAGACCACAGCCAAGAGAAATAAAAACCTTGACCAAAGGTCCCACAAAATGGAGGCAGAGGCAGGGAGAGAATCCATTTCTTTCTGTCCTAATCCTGAATGAATTGAGAAAACAGTGCCAGCATCTACACCCACATGTAAACATATGGCAGGTAAGTGAGAGCACAGGTGGCTGGCCGTGGACACAGACAACCTATTTTTGGTTCTGCTTAAGCTCCCTGATTTTACTGATAATACACTTTAAATTTGGTGTTAGATTTTGCTTTGTTCTTCTGCATGTTTGTTGTTTTGCAAACTCCTTTTCATTTTTCCTCTCATTTGGTTTAGTCCTCCTGCCTAATGGAACCCTACCATAATCCTTGTTTATGAGAAACTATAAAACAACAATGTTAAATTTTTAGAATGCTTTTTTTGAAAGAGAAAAAATAAAGGTAGAACAAATAAAACTATAAGAATTGGGGTTTCTCTTTCCTTTTAACTATCATAATTTTAATTTTTAAAAAAGTTATTCTCTAAACTTGGACAGGTCCTTCACTCCTGAACTGCAAAGACAAAGCTAGGTAGGTGAATTCTCACTCAGCAAAAGAATATAAAACCGTGACATGCAATTCATAGACAAGATGGGTAAACGAAGGGCAGGGAGATGAGGCCTGCTTAAGGCCCCACGGTTCACCGACTGTAGTAGAGCCAGGGAGAAGACAGAGGCAGGTGTCCCATCCCCCACACGTACCACCTTCTTGGGCTGTGCTGTGGGACACCCCAAATAAATCCAGGCATGCCTGAAGCCTGGCCCAGTCCTCACCCTCCAGTCTCAGAACAGCAGAAAGAGAATCAGCCCCACCTGTGGGGAGCTGGCAGTGGGCCCGGCCATCATGCCTCGCACAATCAGGCCAGACTTCGGCCTGGTCTTCTCTCCGATCCTCTTTACATTCAAGGAAGGCTCCGACAAGTGAGGCCTTTCCATCTTCTCCCATGCAGAAGCCATGGTGGGGCTTCCACCTGGGGCTGTCTGCGTGGGCTTACTTTTGTGTGAGGGTTTTTTGGATGATACAAAATTACCAAGTACATCCCCATCAAGACTGTCATGTCTGCAAAAAAGGAATATTTCCATTAAAACAAACTCCCCAAAAGGAATCAGTCACAACAATAAATTCCTCCTTCAACAGGCATTCATAGCAAGCTCATTAACACATATATGATGATTTCTAATCAGCCAGCGCTTCATCACAAAAGGAAAAGAATACTTTGGTATCAGAGTAAGTCCAGCCTACAAAATAATACCAGCAAACAAGCAAACAAAATCAGAGTATCTAAGTCAGGGGTCCTCAAACTTTTTAAACAGGGGGCCAGTTCACTGTCCCTCAGACCATTGGAGAGTGTGCATTGTGGGCCTGGGACGAGTCAGCTGCGTAAGCAGGACAGACAGCGGCAGCAAAAACACCAGGCGGGCCGGATAAATGTCTTTGACGGGCGGCATGTGGCCCGCAGGCTGTAGTTTGAGGATGTCTGATCTAAGTCCTTAACTCTAAAGAGCATCCAGACCAAAGTGATTAAGGAAAACTATAACCCCTCAGTACCATCATAGGATACGTTAAGTCCAGCCTTACTGCATACCACTGGGAGAGGTGGATAAAACTCATGGCAAGCTTAGCATTCCCTGACTGTTTGGGTAAAGTTGGCATCAGGTATGCCAAAGGCTTTTTTTCCTGGAGAGGGAGGGGGATGTATGTGTGTGTATAAGAGAGAGAAAGAGGAAGTAAGAGAGCAAGAAAGAGCAAAAGAAGGTGAGAAATAGAGCAAGCAGTGAGCAACGTGTGAGAAAAAGAGAGCACAAGAGATAAAGTGAGAGACCGAGGTGAACGCGAATCTTACCTGTGATCGCTCAGAAGCCAGCACTCCTTTGACACGGGCTCGGCTATTTTCTACCATTGGGCTCTGGCATAAATGGGAACTAACACCTACTCTATGCCAAGCTGCTCACCAAGCACTAGGTCACATGTAGGAAGGAAGTCTGCATGCTGTGATTGGGATATGGCAAGGAAGGGGCTGGAGCCAGCCTGGGGAAATCTGGAAGGGCTCTCAGTGAAGACAGCACTTAAGACTGAGAGAATCAGTTACTGAATCATTATTCAGTATCTAGGTGAGGGCCCAGGCACCAGCATACAGGCCTGCAAGGCAGGACATGCTCAGGTGAACAGCGAGGGCTGGTCACACATGGAGGTCTGCAGGTTATCCTAAGGAGTTTGGATTTTATCCTAAAAGCTACAGGGAGCGTCTGAAGGCCTTTCAACAGGAGGGTGGCATGGCCAGACATGTTTTGTGGAAAGCTTACACAATCTTAGGTCGAGGGTGGATTTGAGGAGATCACCAGAGGCCTGAGGACCAGGGAAGAGCCCATGGGAGTTATCCAGGAAAACAGGATGGGTTGTGAACTGAGGCCCTTGCCATCAGGGCAGGGAAAGGAGGAAAGAGGGAAAGAGTATAGCATCACTAGGTATGAAGAGCTCACAGGACTCACAAACACAGAAAGTGACAGGCAAGGAGGAGTCAAGGAGAACCCCCAGGTTTTTGACTGGAGTGGGACTCAGGAGCTACCAGTGCTTCCTTGCTACTTTTTTAATTGTATCAGAATTATTTAATTTCCCAGCCAGGCAGTAAGCGCCTTTGGAAGAGGAGCTTCTTCACACCACCATCAAGACCTTTCACAGCTTAAGCCTTGAGCTGTTTGTAATGGTCCCACCTTTTGGCAGCTTGACACCCTGCCCTGAGCTTCAGCTACCCTCAGAAAAGGAAATGCTTTTTAACAGAACCCAGAAAAAATACCAATTCCCAAGAAGTTAAACACATTATTGGTGACTACATGCAGTGTATTAAAGTTGTAATTTAATGTTCTCCAGATAACAGAGGTTCAATCAAGAATGCCAATTCATTTTCTTCCTGAGATTTCGAAAGACCTTATTTTTCATATTTTTCCCATCTCTACAGTGTTTTGTTGCCTTTTAGATTACTATACCTCTCTTTTAAAGAAAAGCAAATAAAGCAAGCCCCTGAACCTTACAAATCATGGAATTTAACATAAACATTTTTTTTTTTTTAGACAGGTCCACTTTGTTGCCCCAGGCTAGGAGTGATACCGTGGAGTCACCTAGCTCACAGCAACCTCAACTCCTGGGCTCAAGCGATCCTCCTGCCTCAGCCTCGCGAGGAGCTGGGACTACAGGCATGCGCCACCATGCCCGGCTAATTTTTTCTATGTATGGTAGTTGGCCAATTAATTTCTTTCTATCTATAGTAGAGACGGGGTCTCGCTCTTGCTCAGGCTGGTTTCGAACTCCTGAGCTCAAGCAATCCACCCGCCTCAGCCTCCCAGAGTGCTAGGATTACAGGCATGAGCCACCACACCCGGCCTAACATAAACATTTTTAATCACAAGTATTCTCCATCACTAAATTAGTCCCTTCTCATGGCCCCTACAGTAAAGTAACAGTGCTCCACGACAGAGATTTTGAAAACACAGTGTGTGGGAAGCCGAATAATGACTGCCCCAAAGTTGTCCACACCCTGCTACCTGGGATCTGTGAATATGTTACCTTCCATGGTAAAAGGGATTTTGTAGATGTGATTAAATAAGAATCTTGAGATGGGGAGATCATCCTGGATTCTCTGATGGGCCCAATGTAATCACAAGGGCCCTTATTATAATAGAAGGAGACATGAGGATCAAAGTTAGTGGTAGTTAGGAGATGTAAAGACACAAGCAAAGCTCAAGTGATGTGCTTTAGGATGGAAGAAAGGGCTATCAGACAGGGAACATAGGTGGTCTCTAGAAGCTAAAAAAGGAAAGGAAGTAGACCCTCCCCTCAGAACTGGCACTGCTGACATCTTGCTTTTAGCCCACTGACACTGATTTTAGACTTCTGACCTCTAAAACTGTAAGAGAATAAATCTGTGTTGTTTTAAGCCACTGTGATGGTTAAATTTTACACGTCAACCTGGCTAGGCTATGGTCCCCAGTTGCTTAGTCAAATATCAGTCTAGATGTTGCTGTAAAGGTATTTTGTTGATGTGATTAACATTTACAATTGGTTGACTTTAACTAAGGCAGATTATCCTCAATGATGTGGGTGGGCCTCCTCATTAAGGCTTTAAGAGGTTCCCCAAAGAATTCTTCTTCAAAATTATAACATTAAAATCTTATCTGAGTTCCCAGCCTGCACTACAGATTTTAGACTTGCAAACCCTCACAATCTCATGAGCCAACTCCGTAAAATAAACATCTTTATATACATATACAAGTATATATACATATACATACACACACACATAGAGAACACTGACTGATAAACCCCTAAATTTATAGTAATTTGTTACTTCAGCAAAGGAATCTAATACACAGAGTAAATGGGAAGAATTACCTGGCTTTGCTTGTTTCTGATAATGATGTTCTCCATCCTGCATCTTCATCTGAAAGGTCATATATATTTACCAGCGTGGTCTCTGAACATCTCAATGGTAATTTGTCACTTTGTTTTGGAACTGAGAGTGCAGGGATTGGGGTTTCTGAAGTAAATTTATTAGCTGTATTTCCAAAGTGATCCAGAAAATATCTGGTAATGAGTTCAAGGTTTGTTTTTAGAGGATTTTCCTTTGCCTATCATTAGGAGAGAAAAACAAAATCATTAACTTATATAGAGCTTTAGGAGAAAGGTAGGAAAAACAGCTATCCCACATCTTTGGCATAAGCTTATCAACTTCTTACTCATTCACACCTGCTTTCAGCAAATGTTCACTGGCTGCCTGTTATATGTCAGGTACTATCCTGAGTAGGGACAGAGAGATCAGAAAAAATCTCTACCCTAAAAGAATTAGCATCCAATGCATGAGTCAGGTAATTCAAAAAATAATTATTATAAAATGCTATATATGCAGCCTGAGCAACACAGCAAGGCCCTGACTCTACAAAAAATAAAAATTAGCCAGGCGTGGTGGCACGAGCCTGTAGTCCCACCTACTGGGGAGGCTGAGGCAGGAGGATTGCTTGAACCCAGGAGTTTGAGGTTGCAGTGAGCTACAATGATGTCACTGCACTCTAGCCCAAGCAACAGAACAAGACCCTACCTCAATAAAATAAAATAATAAAATAAAATAAATGTGATATGACTAGATGAATGCCCAAGCAAATTTCCTCCTGGTTTTTTGCTCCTAGGAATAACTTTATAAAATACATATCCTTTCATTAAAAAAAATTAAGTTTGTAGGGAACACAAACTCTAGAGATTCAAAAGTAATTGGGGCCTAAATATTTTTGTAGTTTGAGGACTCTGCATTCAACACTAGACACCACCAATTATAGAAACAACTGAGGTAGCAGGTTAATGTGAAGAGCACAGAGAGGTAGTCAACAGTGACTCAGCTTATAGCCCAATCTTAAAAAAAAAGGTAAGTGGAATTCTTCAGTAGCACGTTTTGGAAATAAATGATATCAGTATTTTCCAACCTTGCCTGCACCAAATATTCCCTTTGGAGGTTTTTTAAAATATGGATTCCCACACTCCATGAGACTTTCTAAGCCAAAATAACAAAGATCGGAGCCCTGATTTCTTTTAAAATTCCCCTAAGTAATTTGGACCAACACAGCTATCCAAGCAATGAACCATATGAAGGCTTCAGGAACCAAGCCTCAACCGACTCACCTGGAAACACCTAGGTTCTGCTGGGGCTGGGGCTGGGGCTAGCTAGATGGGGGGCAATCAATGCTTTTGCGATCAAAGTAGCAAAGCACCTGAGAAGGAGCCTGGCAGAGGGGGCCCTCATGACATGCCAAATCCTCTCATCTACAATAGAACTCCAGGACTAAGACTCACAGCCAATGGGCTATGACCAAATTCAATAGATTTATCAGACAGTCAAAATCAGGGACAATTTTATTATTTTTTTAGAATGAGACAAAAACAAAAACTATTTTGTCTATGACCAAGTGTAATTTACAATGAAGAGAGTTGGGGGAAATATTACATAAATATTACATAATTAATATGATTTATTTCAGCCTTCTTGGTTTTTCTCTCAATAAGAGAGATTCAGGGCCCAGGGTTGCCTGATTTATACTTTGTGCTTTTCACATCACTTGGCTCACAATAGACACAGTCTTTATTTGAATCTAGATACCATTTTTCAAAACTTTAATTTTACATAGAAATTTTAATCTGTTATACACCTAAGGGGGAAAAATAAGTTACTAGAAATATTAACATTAAATTGCAGGGTGTTCCAAGAATCACGCTAGCCTTGTCCTGAGTGAATGATAGAATTACTATGCAATCATAGACTAATAAGTACATTTTTCTATAGAATATAGGCTCCAATTCATTGTATAACAGTTAATAACTACTGTATAAATCAAATATTTTCATATTAAAATGAAGATATCTTAAGTATCTTAAGATAACAGTTACCTTAGAGAGACTATATTACAGTGAGGGAATAAAAATAACTTGAATGGCAAAGATACTTCTGGGAAATTGGGTACGGTACAATTTCCATAAAAATCCCGATATGACCAGAATAGTTGGTTGAATTTTCTGGGTAGCTATCTTATTTTCTGCACGAAATCCTCCTAAAATGTACAGTCCACTCTTCTGGCTTAAAATACAGCAAATGGAGGATTACAGAATATCTGCTGCTTGGGTCAAGAGTCTTCTTCCTACAGGACTTCAGCTGAGTGCACACATGAGAGGGAGGTGCCTGACTGTCACCCCAGGACCCAGAGGACAAAGGTCATCTATTTGATGTCTTTACTGAGCCTCTAATTGGATTTAACCTGGCTGCCACTGCCTGCTTCTCCTCCAAGGGGAGCACAAGAATTTCTGGCAACCTGAGTGCTCCTGCAGGTGCCAAGTGGTTTAAGTTTATAGGTTTGCCAGAAATTCCATCCCTTACTTCATTGAGGGAAGCCTAGCCTGAGTTACTCCCTAGCCTATGACACATATTTGCATGGTTTTCCATGAGGTTTCTCCCAGTGTCTCAAAAATAGCCTTGGTCCCACCCCCATACCAACTCAATCTTCAAAGATCACATTTTGAAAATAGGTTACACCTAAAATATGTTTGACCATTGTTCCTGCAATAAGATTGGGAATCGAAACACCTGGTTCTTGCCTCATCCCTACCTTGTAACTGACTGTGAGACCTTGGGTACCCAATTTTCTCTGACTCACAGCTTCCTGCTCCCCAGTGCGTGGGGGTCCAGGGAATAGATCAGTAGTATCAAAGCTAATTAACTGGGAATTGAGGCAGGACGGCCTCTTCCCCACTTCAAACAGGGCAACAGGGCGATTTCCCTTCTCTGCTTTGCATATTTTTAAACTTCTAGATATCATTTTAACTTTTTTAAATTGTGATAAGTGCTGAACTACATGATTGATCATTTTCTTTCTGGCTCTGACACTGTGCCCAATCACAAACCAATATTTGCTGGAGAACCCATTCTTTAGTCAAATCAGAGAATTCTGTTTTCATAAAGTAAAGAGCAATTAAGTTGGAAGCGTCATTCATTCATATATTCATTCATTCTGTCATACATTCATTTATTCCACAAATACATGTTGACTACTAACTATATCATCAGACAACACATTAGGTATGGGGATAGAATAGTGAACAAAAAAGACTCCATTCCTGGCTTTCTGTACATCTGAAGTAGTGGGGAAGCAGATACTATAATAATTAAACAATCACACAAATATCCTATTGCCAGTGTGATAAAGACAAAAAAGGAAAACTGTAGTGTGTCACAAAAGCCTATAAGAGCAGGTAAGGAGTGACCGGGTCTAGGGGATCAGAGAAGTCCCTTTCCCACTTAAGGAAGTGCTGTTCCATTGTTTTCTCAACTTCAGTGGGGGTGGGGGGTAGCTGAACCCAATTCCCACTTCTGCCTGAATTATATGTCACAGTAGACTTAAGACTAAGGTATTACTCAGAACTGAAGAAGGAAAATCTTATGCAGGCAGGGAATGGAAAATTTTACTATAACTGAATACTATATTCTTAAGCATGGTCTTACTAAAAATAGCCTTGTGTAGGGAGGAGGGAGCACAGGGAAGAACCATCAGAGGCTGAGCACAGCCACACTTGGGATCTGTCAGCACTTGGCTGGGTCTGTTTTTCTCTGACCACAGGCACTCTCTAAGCCTCTTGCCACCACTGGTAGAGTCCATGACTGCTCTGGCATCACCAAACTCAGATCCATGACTCCACACCACATCAGAAAAAGCACATACCTTGTTCTCCCTGTATAGAAATTCAAGATGCAAAACCTTGCGAAGATCATTTCTGCTGTTTATGCTGAGATCAGAGCGTGGGCGTTCCTGGTCCATGGTCACACATGTCTTCTTTAAGCCCTGAGGGGAGAAATCTGACTCATTGTTTACCAGTTTAAATCAAAACCTTCTGTTCTCTGACGCAGAATACAAACAAAAGTTACTGATGTTCATTATAATTCTTATCCTGTCTTCCTCACTAGGACATTTCAAGGATTAAAATCTCACTTAAAAATTCATTTTTATATAATCTTTACAGTTGACATCACCTTCACAACGATTATTCTGATTCTAACAATAACACTGTGAGCTAAGCTACAGTTGTCAGCCCATTTCATAGATAAGGTAAAGTAAATTCAGGTAACTGACTCACTGAAGGCTAACACAAAGCCCTGGATTTGGCCACAGAATAGGAAGTTTTAAAAATAAATAAAAGAAAAAATGTAAACTAAAGGCCAATATTCATTCCTCTCATTTCTAAGATGGGGAAACCAAGAGAGAGTGTTGACTTGCCCAAGGTAACTCAGTGGAATCATAGTGGGCAGTTCAATCATCCCAGCCTGTGAGTACATGACTCTAGGGCCCAGGCCCACAGGAAGCTCTTGGTAAATGTTTGCTGAGTAGCTAGCAAAGCCACTTTCCATCATTCCACCCTGAACTTCCAAAAGACTGAGGTTCAAGGCCCAGCTGAGACATGCTCTGGCAATGGAGCATAGAGTGGGGCGGGGGAGGCTCCTATTTCCAACAGCCTGCTTCTTCCTTTGAAAAATAATCACAGCAGTTGCTGCCTGCCCACCTCTCCAGGCCACTGTGATCAGCAAATGGCTGGAGGATGAGATGATGCCTCACAAACAGCTTGGTGTGGGGAATCCCTTGCTCTTGATGGATCCCAGAACCCAAGTCCTTGACAGGCCTCAACTTCTCCACTAACCCTGTGTTCAGAATTTTATGGAGGCTCCAACTGCTGGGGAAACAAGACAAACCTGCTGCCTATGGGTTTGAATTTTGGTAAAAAAGTCAATTTAGGAAACAAAAAGTATAAACACAGCCTTGAACCAAAGAGAGAAAAAAGGAGGCCTTAGGAAAGAAGAACAGAAAAAAATGTACATATGTGCTAGAGAAAATGTAGACTAGGTACATTAGGGAGCATAGACTAGAAGGAGAAAAGGGGCTCAAAAGCAGCCACCTGCATTTTGTCTGGGCTTAACCAAGCTTTCTCACAATCAAAGTGATGTGGAACACTGTATAATGAGGGTCCCTCTCTGATGGGTAACTCTTTATGTCTCTCAATAGTTCAAATCAGCAAGCCTTGGTGCATTTAATAATGTCCCCCCAAGAGTGTAATTAATGCACACCAGCATTTGAAAACCACTTGGGCAGAGAACAAGTCAGCCAGGCCTCAGCCCCATGCAGCCCACTCAAACTTCATTCACTCAACAAACATTTGTCATGCACCTCCTATGCACCAGGCTGTGTTCTAGATGCAGGAGACATAGAAGGAATAAAAGCTGACATTTTGTTGGGGAAGCAGATCATAAGTGAATCTGTAAGCACATAGTATGGCAGCTGTTAATATGCACTAGTATGGAGATAAAATGGGGAGAGTGACAACAAAGAGGAAGGGCACTATTTTGGATAGTCAGCTATTTGTTGAGCATCATCCATGTGCTTGTTCCTGTCTTCTGGTTTCCCCATCTGTGAACTGAAGGGACAGAACCACTAGTCCATTAGCCCATCTGCTAGCAGCAGAGGAATGAAGAGATAAAAGTCCCAGTCACCGCGGAGCTTACATTCTATAGGGGAAAAGACAAAGGCATAACATGCTATCAGGAAAAAATACACATAGTAGGGTAAGGAGACAGAAAGAGCCAGGAGGGGTGCAGGGAAGGGCTGTTACTTTATCAAAGGTTGTCAGAAAAGGTTTCATTGATTAGGTGACACTGGAGCAGAGACATGAAGGAATCAAAGGAATAGACCCTGCAGACACTTGGGGGGAAACTAGTCTAGGCAAGGAACAGAAAGTGCAAAAGTCCTGTGGCAGCTGCAAGATGACAGTGCATCTAGAGCCACATGGCCAGGGGAAAGTAGAAGAGGAGGTCAGAGAAGTCACACAGAGCCCGATAAGGAAAATGAAATGAGAGAGGGAGGCTACTGGAAGATTTGAAAAGAGGAATATCTTGGACTACCATATTTTTATAGAATCACCTTGAAATAATTTAGGAGACTACTGAATAATTCACACTTCACATAAAAATAAGGTTGGCTTGGACCAGGTTGCTTGCAACAAAAGTGGTAAGAAGTGGCTACATTCTCAATGTGTTCTGATGGTAAAACCAACAGATTTGCTGATGGACTGGATATAGGGTAGACTAGAAGGAAAAAAGCCAAGAATGAATCCAAAGCTTTTGGCCCAAGCAATTAGAATGGACATGCCACTTACTGAGGTAAAGTTGTAGGAGGATGAAGAAATCAGAAATTGAGTTTTAGACATTGTGATAAATACAGATATTTGGTCTTTGTCTCAGGTTCCTGACAAAGAGACCCTAAAACCCTTGGAATCTCCAGATTGACAAGAATGACTTTTGTATGTCAATGAGATGACTAGTGGCTGGGAACCCCTAGTCACCAGAAAGACCAAGCCTTGATTAGAAGATTGGAACTTTCAGCCCTTTTCTCTCAACCTCTAGGAAAGGAAGAGGAGCTAGAGATTGAGTCAATCATCAATGGCCAAAGATTTAATCAAGCATGTCTATGTAATAGGATCTCCATAAGAACTCCTAAACAAGGGGTTCAGGGAGCTCCCAGGTTGCTGAATGTGTCAAGGTGTTGGGAGGGTAGCATGCTAGAAACAGCATGGAAGCTCTGAGCCCCTCCACCCATACCTTACCCTACACATTGCTTCCATCTGGCTCATCCTACATTATGTCCTTTATGATAAACCCGTAAATGTAAGCAAAGTGTTTCCCTGAGTTCTGTAAGCCATTCAAGCAAATTATCAAAACTGAGGAGGTGGCCACTGGAACCCTCATTTTATAGCCAGTTGGTCAGAAGTACAGGTGGCAACCTGAGACTTGAGACTGGCATTTGAAGTGGGGGTAGTCATGGAACTGAGCCCCTGACCTATAGAGTCTTCATTAACTCTAAGTAGTTAGTGTCAGGATTCAACTGAATTATAGCACAACCAGTTGGTGTCTGGAAAGTTGGAGAATTTGGCTGGTATGGGGAAAAAAACTCAACACATTTGGTGTCTGAAGTGCTGTAAGCAGAAACACTATCAGAGACATGTTGAGATGCTTATTAGGCATCCCAGCGGAAATGCAGAATACGCAGTTGAGAATAATTCAAGAGTTCAGGGAGAGGTCTCAACTAGAGATAGATATCTTGGAATTGTTAGCATATAGATGGTTTCAGAATCCCTAAGACTGGCTGAGATGCCTCCAGAGTGAATGGAGAGGAGAAGAGAAGAGGGCCATAGACTGAGTCCTTGAGCCCACCAGCCCACAAGACAGTGACATGAGGTGAGACCAGCAATGACAACCAGGGGGGACAACCAGAGAGGTAGTAGGAAAGCCAGGAGGAAGTGGTCTCCTCAGAGCCAAGCTGAAGGACACAATCAACAAACACAGTCATTCGATCAAGAAGGGTGAGGACTGAAAATCAGAGATCAATAATGGCCTTGGCGAGAGCTGTTGAGGACTGGTGGAAACAAAAGCCTAATTAGAATGGTTTGAGAAAGTGGGGAGAACTGAAGTATACACAGCTCTTTTTGCGAGGTTCTCTATAAAAGGAAGAAAATTAGACCAGTAGCTGGAGGGGCTTAGGGGTCAAGATGGGATAATGTACGAGCACATATACATACTGACAGGAATAACGCAGTGAATGGTTCAGGCCCAGGAAGGTAGGTAAGAATGGTGGTGGGAGCCTCTCTGACTCTCTCATGACTTCATCTATAATATTTTCTCAGTGAAATTAGCTTGGGAAGGAGCTTTGGGGTTTGAGGAGTATAAAATGGTCATCCAAGATTTGAGAGGGTGAACAGGCTGGAGAGAGGTGTAACCCGGTGGGCAGTTGCCCCTAAGCATCACAGGGTAAATGGCCATGGATTTAGAGTGACTCCACCAACATGGTAGTACGTGTTTTTCCAATCTCATTCAGCTCTGCAAGTGCGGGCATAGAACAGGCTGAGCTGAATTTTACCCAAGTTAGGTAAGTATGATTGGAAGGAGAGGATGGCAAGAGAGTCAAGCATGTTATGGGAGGTACAATTATAAGGATGCAAAGGAAGAAATGGGCAGGGGTTGCGGTAGGCCTGAGGGACTGTGACAAGTTGGCAGGAACAAAGGAATGGTGCAGCGAGGCTGAAGAATAGCTTATGTGGGGCTACAAAGGAGGATGAGCTGGAAATGAGGATGGGTGGGAAGCTTGGAATTGAGATTACAGAAAGAGCACAGTATGGCAAGGACAAGCCTAGCTCATGACCATGGGGAAGAGTGGTGGGGGGAGAATGGCATGGTCACTGCAGAAAAGGGGCTATGGACTCCAGAGGCTGGGTTACCAGAAGAGTCATCTCAATGGACTCAGGAGATGATCCTGACCCTCCCTGGGGGCAGACCATGCTTGGTGAATTCAAGCAGGCCAATGTGGCTAGAGGGAAGTGGGTGGAGGCAGTCGGGGAAGATGAGGTCCAAGGGGAAGCCAGGAGCCAGTCAGAGACAGCCTTATAGTCTAATTATGGGAGGGCAGTGGAGGGTTTTGAGCAGGGGAGTGACATGCTCACCCTGGGCAAATTTCTTGGCCTCCTGGTCTCAGCAATAGTCTTACATGAAAGGGAATACTTATAGGTATCTTTTGAGACTGTTATGAGGATCTGAGGCAATAAACAGGCACAAGAAGGTTCCTAGCACCATAGTGAGAACTCTCTTGCTTATGACTGCTGGGTACCTGCCTGTGCGAAGCTCTGTGGGGAGCACATGGCCTCTGCCCTGGAACAGACGGTGAGGAGAAAAGCAGTAATCCTGGGCTACAGTCCCAGCTCTTCATGACTTTCTAACTATGGGCAACTCCCCTATCTACTCTCAGGGACTTAGTGTGCCTAGATAAAACATGGGAAGGAGAGGTGGCCAGGGCAACTAGGCTATCTCCAAGGTGCCGCCCAGTTTAGGAGTCAGCTCTGTGGCCTTGTCTAGCAGGTGAGACACACAGATGTATAAACTATAACATAAGCTCCAATGAGCGAACCACAGACAAGAGGAGTCAATCACTCCAACTGGAGTTATCTGAGACAATCTCTTGTAGAAAACGGACTTGGGGTAGGCCTGGATAAATCAGGGCAAAGGTAGAAAAAGCTAGAAAGGAGATTGGGATAGTAAGCTGGGGTCTTGCTATAGAGCAGCCTTAGATGTCAGTGAGGACTTCGGATTTCATTTGTACTCAAGACAGGAGGGGCATAAGGAAACCCTCATCCTCACTGGCCCAGACTTAAAAGAAACAATAGTATTGGTCAGCCTCCCAAAGTGTGTCACTGATATCCAACATGCAGCCAGGACTTGGTGATGGAGTGTCAATTAGTCATAAAAATAGAGCAGAGAGGACAAAGCCAAATGCATTAAAATTTTTTAAAATACAAATAAATTATAAAAAGAACACAAAGACATTTTCAAAACAGTATCAAGTAGAACACCTATGTGCACATTGTATCTATCTGCCAGATAAAATGCTTGGGAGCTGCCCAAATATTATTATTAACCCTCATTATAAATCCACAAAGGGTATGTCTTACTTTTCCTGTTTTACAGATAAGGAAATTGAGGCAGTGAGTAACATACACAAGCTCACACTGCAAACACAGAGCAAGTATTTGAACTGCCTCCATCTGACTTTAAAGTACTTCCCTTCTCCTCCATTCAAAAAATTGTGTCTGTTTTCATCCAAGTGCCCATCGCCCCAGCCCAGTATGACAAAGCAAGGAAACACAAAACTCACGGAGCACAGCCCTGTCACTATGTGCAGAATGACTAAATGGCTACTCCCCTTAACTATCAAGCCCAGGACCTCCAGCCAGCTCCTCTCTCACCCAGTCCCCGGATGACAGCTAAGGACCTCCCCAACTTGTGAATACTTTGAAAAGTCTCCTGGGATAAGACAACATGAGAACTCACTAACAAAGATTAATGCAACTGGAACCCCCACTTGATTAAAATGACTGAAGGGGAAGGGCGCGGAAGCTCCCTCACGTCAGTAATCCTAGCACTCTGGGAGGCCCAGGCGGGAGGATCGCTCAAGGTCAGGAGTTCGAAACCAGCCTGAGCAAGAGCGAGACCCCGTCTCTACTATAAATAGAAAGAAAATTAATCGGCCAACTAATATATATAGAAAAAAATTATCCGGGCATGGTGGCGCATGCCTGTAGTCCCAGCTACTCGGGAGGTTGAGGCAGGAGGATTGCGTGAGCCCAGGAGTTTGAGGTTGCTGCGAGCTAGGCTGACGCCACGGCACTCTAGCCTGGGCAACAGAGTGAGACTCTGTCTCAAAAAAAATAAATAAATAAAATAAAATGAAGTGAAATGACTGAAGGGACTGCCAAAAACTTCTCTGGGCCTCGCGGGTTCCCCTAGGGGGCAGTTCTTTCCTAGCGGGACGTCCGTCCCGGGTTGCAGGGCTGAGGCCCGCCCGCCGTGCGCCCGCGCGGGGACAGCTCGGCCGCGGGACCGCGCCCTCCCGCCCCGAGAGGCTTCCTCGGGGGGCGGCCCCGCGCCGCGGCCCGCTCTGAGGAAGCGCCGATGACGAGGACAGAAATGGCTCCTGGGAAACGTAGTCCCCTGTCCTGGGGAAGGGGCGCTCTTCTGCGGCTTCTCTGGAGCAGGCAGGGGAAGGGCTCCCCCGCCCCCCGAAGGTGCCAAGATTCCAAGGGGACCCCCCCTCAGGCGGACCCCCAAAATTACAGCGACTGCCGGGCTTCGGAAGGGGCGAGCCGTTACCTTTCTGCTGAGGAACTCCCTGACCAGGGAGGCGGCCACCTCCTCCACGTAGAGGCTGTCCATGCCGCCAGCTCTGCCGCGAGGCCAGGCTGGGACGCAGCCCCAGGCCCCGCGGTCGGTTGGCCCAGTATGGCCGCGTTGCCGTGGCGACGGCGCTCTGCTGAGGGAGCTCCGCCCCTTCCCGGGAGCTGCGCGGCGGCGGGAGCGGGGCGGAGCCAGCTTCAAGACTCCTCCCAGCGGAAGGCGGTGCCTAGGGGCCGGCACAGCCCAGGGGCGTGGCCATCTGGGCGGCCTAGGTCTCCGTTTCCCTAGACAGAAAATGGGAAGCATGCTCCTGTTTGGGTAAGACTAAACTCTCAGTGAAGTGGCCCCCATACTTAGCACCACCCCAGCCCCTCTGAGCTCACCAAGGCCTGCTGACCTTGGCTGGCCTGGACTTTGTGTGCAGAGAAGCCCCGAACGGCTTCCTGAGTGCTGAAATTCAAGGACAAGTCCCCTGGTGCCTGCTTCCCCATAATGAGACTGCCATTTATTGAGCACCAAGAGCTTTCCACACATTATCACACCTTTAATCCTTACAACTTTCTGGCAAGGCCGTTACTATCGGCCCCATCCTTTAAAACAAGACATTGAGATTCAAAAAGGCTTAAGTAAGATGTTGCTGAAGCCCACACGGCCAGGAACTGGGAATCCTGGGCTTCTAGCCAGGCCCGGTCTTTGCCCCGCACCACTTTTCGCAAACTCAGTCGCCTGGGTGCTGCCTTCACAGTATGCCACATCTACACGCATCACTTAGTTTTCTAAGGCTGCCGTACAAAGTACCACAGATTGGGTGGCTTAAACAATAAATGTATTGTCTCACAGTTCTGGAGGCTAGAAGTCCAAGATCAAGGTTGTCAGCGGGGTTGCTTCTTCCTAGGCCTTTCTCCCTGGCTTATAGATGGCCACCTTCTCCCTGTGTCTTCACAAGGCCATCCCTCGGTGTTTGTCTGTGCCCTAGTCTCCTCTTCTTGTAAGGACACCAGGCACATTGGATTCGGGCCCACCCTAATGACCTCATTTTAACTTGATTACCTTTTTGAAGAACCTTGCTCCAATACAGTCACATTTTGAAGTACCCAGTATTAGGAATGCACCGTAGGAATTTAGTGGGACACAATTCAGCCCAAACACCTATACTATTACTTATGTACTATTTTTTTTAAAACAGACATACATGTTTTAAAATTTATTTTAAAAGGAAAGTATTCCCAAGCAGTAACATCCACAAAATCTTGGGTTTGATGTGCTTATTAAATCTCTACAAATTAAAACAAACACAAACCTGGAAGGTATGCATTCATCTAAAATCATCTTACAACCACCAGTAGCTAGCACAAGTATCACATTTGGGAAGCTATTGTGCCGCATCATACAGTCTCCTTGAGACATCTGTGTAATGTGGCAGATTGCATCATAATCTCTAGGCATTTCCCTCTCTAATCCCCAGTGTCTCTTTGAGAAACCTCTCCTGGGCACTTTAGTGCCATGTGAGACAGTGAATATGTGTAGAGTGAGGAGGGCAGAGTTGAAGGAAACAGTATGCTCCCCAGTCCAGGGGCTGTCATGTGCCAGCAGTGATGGATGATATGTAATAATGAAACAATAACTCAAGACAGATTTATGCTTGGTAAGAGATTGTGTACCACAGAGAGTAGGTGTTATGTAGTAAGTCAGAGGAAGGAAAGCTTCCCTTCTGTGGAAGCAGACCAGGGTGAAATGGAGCAAAGAGAAAAAGTCATCCATTCTTCTATTCATTAATAAATATTTACTGAGCCCTTACCACGTGCCGGATGAACAGGCACTGCAGATTTAACACTGTAAAATATATGCCTTCTTAGAGAAAGAAGAGTGGGGTAAGGTGGGGAGATGGGGAAACAAAGAAAACACACTGAGCATAGCAAATGATTTTTTAAATGTCAGATTTAAAGAGAAAAAAAGCACAGGAGTATAGGACAACTATTAATGGGAAAAAGATTAAAATTTTTTAAGGATGATCAGGTAAGACCACTTAGATGATAGTATTGATAGTATTTCAGCAAAAACCTGAAGGAAGAGAGGATGTGAGCTATGTAGAGACGTGGAGGAAGAGCACTCCAAGTTTCCAGGCAGAGGAAACAGCAAGTGCAAAGGCCCGGAGAGGGCATCTAGCCTGAGGGCTTGCAAAATAGGCAGGCAGCCTGAGTGAGTGTGGCTGTGTGTGCCCTGAGATGGGATGGCGTCCTATCCAGGGCTGGTCCAGGGCTGGTTCTCGCCTTGTGTCCTGAGCTGGTGGGAGAGGGTCCAGCCACCTGTGACCGTGAATTAGAAAAATCGGATAAATAACTATCTTACTTGTCTTTATGAATCTTTCTTAAATGTATGTACAGCTCACATTTTTTTCAGTATCTAATGTTAGAAGTGTTTTGGTCTTTATTTAGAAGCTTTGTGATGTTTCTGTGACCAGAAATAAACTGTAGGAATTTAATTCTTGTTTATATCAATTAGCCGAATGGTAACATTGGTTTCACTATTTAATACATTGTTTCACTTCAAGTCACAGCTTTTTGCAAGAACCTGTTGACCATGCTAAGTGAGGACAGGCGTGGAAGCAGGGAGACTAGCTAGGAGACAATTGCAACAATTAGTAGTCTCAGTAAAGTTTAGTCTAGACATATTGTGTGTGTGAATTTTGTGTGTGAGTGTGACCCTTTCCTGGATCTGAAACTTTTTTATCACATTGGAACAGAAGAGTTAAAGCAACAAAAGTGCTGGAATGCATTCTTTTTTCTAGACACATAGCTGGCTCCTGGGAATACAATAGCCTGCAGATAACCTTAAGATGTCAAATAAAAGAGGCAATCTGGTCAGGAAAGGGCAAAGAATGTTCTGCCAGAAATCTGGGGAGAGACTAGGTTACATCATATGCCCCATTCTTTTCCACAGGTCCTCTTCAAGTTATCCTGGTTTCTACATCATGTTCCTGTGAACTGGAACATTCCCACAGAGCATTGTAAGGGGAGCCCTGCTCTCCTGCCTGGATGTAAATGGTGGTTGAAGTCCTTATGAGAGGACTTCTTGTGAAATAAAAAACAAAAAAACCTGCTGGAGATGCAAATAACAATGTCATCAAAAAAGAACCCAATCATTATATTAGGTCATTAAATATGAAATGTCCAATTTTGCATCAAAAGTTATATCTCAAACAAGAAGCAATACAATTAATCAAAGTATATGCCTAAACTATCAACACAGTTTTGCCATCTTAATGGTAGCTTGCTTATGCCAGCAGTGAAGAAGCCTAGAGAGCTAGTAGTGATTAAATGACAAGAGCTGTTTTCCACAGCCTGTTGAGAATTTATTGTTTTTCTTTGCAGGAAGTGGTCCAAAGCCTGGAAGAAGTGGTAGTCAGTTGGTGCAAGGTCTGGTGAATATGGTGGATGACAGAGAGTTTCCAAGTCCAGCCTCTGTAGTTTGAGCAGCGTTATTTTTTGAGACATGTGGTCTTGCAAGAGGATTGGCCTGTCTCTGTTGACCAATCTCAGCTGCTTAATCACAAGCATCCTCATCACTTTATCCAACTGGTTGCAGTAGATATCTGCTATAATCAACTGACCAGGTTTCATGAAGCTGTAGTGGATAATACTAGCACTGGACCACCAAACAGACACCATTAGCTTTTTTTTATTATGAATATTCGGTTTTGGACTGTGTTTCAGCACTTCATCCTTATCCAACCATTGTGCCAAATGCTTGCGATTGTTGAAAATAATCCATTTTTCATCACACATAACAGTATGGTGTAAAAATGGTTCACCTTTATGTCTTGACAGCAAAGAAAGGCAAGCTTCAAGACGATTTCTCTTCTGATGCTCTTTTAATTCATGCAGAACCCATCTATCCAGCTTCTTTTCCTGGCTGATTTGTCTCAAATGGTCCAATACTGTTGGAATAGTAACGTCAAACCTTGCTGCTAATTCACACGTAGGTTGAGATGGATTCACTTCCACTACAGCTTTCGCCTCATCATTCTCCACCTTGATTTCACCCGCATGGCTCATTTTCAAGATTAAAATCACCAAAATGGAACTTTTCAAACCATCAACGTACTGTGAGTTCATTAGCCACATCCTTCCCAAACACTTGGTTGATATTTTGAGCTTTCTGTGCTGCATTAGTTCCACAATTAGCCTGTATAGGCTGAGAAACTTGTATTCAAAAATAATACAAATTTCTGACTTATCCATGGTTTCACAAAAATTGCTCTAAAAAAAATTTGAAAGATAATCAGAAGCCAAAATGTGCATTTGAAAGAATGAGGATGTACCTTCACAATAAAAAAAAAAAAAACACACACACACACAAGAAGTGTCGAAATGTCAGAGATACCAACTCTCAAACTTAGTACTTTAAGGAAATTGGACATTCCATGCTTGACCTAATAAATATCAACAATCATTTAAAAAGAAATGCTTTTCCAAGTTTCATGAGACAGGGATGAACCCATGGAGTCTGCTAAATAAATAAGAACTGTAAAGCATGCTTGCCCAGTACTCTGCGAATACCATTTATCTGTGTCACGCATTAACCTGAAACCAGATTTAGCCAAGACAAATGTGAGCCTCTCTAATGATTGGCAGTCATTTTGTTTGCCTTCTCAGAATGCAATGGACTACACACTGGATTTTAGTGATGGGATAGTGAGTGACGAAGATAACTCCCAAAAGATTACAGACAGCATCATATATTTGTGTAAACTTAAAAACAATTTAAACCAAGAAATCACAGTTTATAGGAAAATGTAGTTTTGCTAAAGCTTTATAAAAATAAAAGCAAGGGAATGAAGATGACGTGATTCATAACAGCAGTTATCTGGGGAGGGGAGAGGCTGGGGACAGGGCAGGGGAGAACCACATAGGGAAGTATATGTAATTGTCAATGTTCTGAGGGTTGTTAGGGTATTTGTTTCATAAGTGTTTGTTATATCATTTCTATTGATTCATCAGTTAATAAAAGATGGCCTTGCAGGACCCACCAATGATGGCAAAGGGTGTGTTATTAATCTTATTAATTTTGTGTCCCTGATGTACAGAAAGAAGGGAGGGAGAAAAGGGGGTGGAAATTCAGTGAACTTTATATTGGAAGGACAATTCAGATGGCCTTGACTCATAACATGCCTTTAACATAGAGAAAACTCTGTGTGTGTGTGTGTGTGTGTGTGTGGTGTGTGTGTGTGTGTGTGCAAAATCGTGTACATGGCTACACAGCTGTGGCTCTAGGCATCTATGAGTCAATGAGTGCCTGCATGTATGAGTCTACCCACAGGAATTTGTGTTCCTCGTCCACCTGAATTCTGTCTGGTGCCCTATTGGTTCTGGCAGCAGGATGCATCATTTGCGTTAGGGGGCTTGGAACTGGGAAGTGAGCATGCTGCATCAAGCACTGCTTCCTCCAGGATGCTCCAGGGAGGGGACTCACTGAATGGATTCCCCTCCAACCTGGTGCTCCTTGAGAGGAGGCAGGGATGGACATTTGCCTGGGTCAAGGGGTTTCCAGAGAACAGAAGCACATACACTTGTCCCTATAATTATGTCTTCCTTGGGACTTGCCATCCAGGGTCTGGTGTGGGAACACGAATCTGACAAGGTGCAACACGTCTGGACCATCTGGGATAGAAGCACATTGTGAAAGTCCTTCTAATGATGTGATCTTCAACTCTCCCAGTTGCCTGGCCACCACCCACAGAGGTCATGACAGGGGGCACGGCCCAGGCCACTGTCCTTGGCAACATGAGGAACAGCTCAACCACACATTCCCTTATCTCATCAGCCACCTCCCAACCTCAGCTACTACATGGCTCCAACATGAGACTGGAGATGGTGGAAGGATCCCTGCCCGAGCCAGGCTCTTGCAGGATGAGATGAAACAGCCACAACCCTGCTGAGACTCTTGTTCTTTCACTCAGCCCAGAGCACCCCAGACCATCTCACTGTCAGGAGTGATGGGCCTGGCTGTCTGTGCATGTCTGTGCTCAGGGACTGTTCAGGCTGAGGTAAGGAGGAAGCAGAGGCATCCCATGAGGTTTTGAGAATGCATCTACTTTAACCAAAAATTATATATAAGTCTCCACCAATGCGATGGTTAATTTCATGTGTCAACTTGGCTAGGCCATGATATTTAGCTATTTTGTTAAATACGAACCTAGATGTTACTTTGAAGGTACTTGTTAGATGAGATTAATATTCAAATTAGTAGACTTTGAGTAAAACAGATTACCCTCCATAATGTGGGTAGGCCTCATCCAATCAGTTGAGGAACTTAAGAGGAAAACGCTGAGGTCCCCCAAGGAAGAGGCATTCTGTCTCCAGACTGCCTTCAGACTTGAGCAGCAACATCATCTCTTTCTTGGGTCTCCAGCCTGCCAGCCTCCCCTGTGGATTTCAGACTTGCCAGCCCCTACAATCATGTGAGCCAATTCCTTAAAATAAATCAAGGGGTGGGGGGCTATCACCAGAAAAACAGAACCAATAGGATAAACACACACACACACACACACACACACACACCTACCTTACTGATTCTGTTTCTCTGAACACTAACTAATGCACTCCTCTAAATAATACAAATCCCAACCCACCTTGCTGCACACTTGCCTTGGAATAGCCTCAGGAAATTCTTGAGTAAACTTCCTTAGGGACCACCCAGGTAAAGGTGCCTTCTCTGGGGCAAGCTGAGACCTTTGCCACCCTGGCATTTTCACCACCAAGTGCAGACCCCAGATGCTCAGAAGTAGCTGTCAGTGCCTCCATGTGAAAAATTCCTGTTGAAACAATATGAAGACACCCTTTGGAATCATAACATAGTATCCTCCAAGAAAACATTCTGTGTGAAAATTTGGGTCCAAGTAAATGAATCTAAACTGCTCCCAAAGTGGAAAAGTGCTGTGGTAAAGTCTACTGGTTGCCCAACAGAATCCATTCTTTCCTTCATTTATGGTAATATATTTGAAGCTGGGCAAATGATTGCCCAGCCACACTGTATTTCCCAGCCTCCCTTGCAGCTGGAAGTGGCCATGGAACTAAGCTGTCACCAATGGAATGAGAGAGCCAAAACCTTAAAACCAGGCTCCATCTCTTCCATTGTCTTTTCTTTCCTGTAAGCCAGAGCACAGCTGCAACCATGAGCGTGTGTTATAACCCTAATGACAAAAACAACACCCAAGAGCAGTAGTTCTCAAAGTGTGGCCCCCAGAACACCAGCATCAGCACCACTTGAGAACTTGTTAGAAATGCAAATTCTCAGTCACTCTGTCAGATCTGCTGAATCAGAAACTCTGCATGGGGGGCCCAGCAAGTTGTTTATAAGGCCTCTGGGTACTGTTGATGCTCACTCAAGTTTGAGTGTGCTGGCCTGGTGGATGGCAGAAATAAGATGGAAGGAACCTGGTTCCCTGAATGACTGCATGGAGCAGAGTCACTAGTGAGCTGGAATTCAGATGGTCACAAGTGAGAAATAAACTTCCAACTGGTTTGAATCTTGTGTTTTATTTACTTATAAAGTTTTTTACTATTTTTGGAAGTGGGGATGAGGGGGTCTTTTGTTAAATCAGCTTATGTTTTCAACCTAGATTATACAAACCTCTAAAAGTGAGTGAAAGCCCAACTGTGGGACAGTGGTCTCTCCCTCCTGGGTTTGCTAGGCCAGAGATTCCCAGCAGGATTGTCCACACTGAGGCCTTGCAGATTGATGGTGGGTTCCCTATATCCTCAAGCCTCGGGACAGCTAAATGGAGCCTGTCTGGCCAGAGACCACAGGCCGTCACTGCCATGGACAGTCTCCATCCACCCCAACCTGCTGCACAAATACTATCATTTCCTATGTGCTCCCCGGGGAGGCCTCCTGCTGCCCACAATTTTCAATCATTTGCCTCTTGCTCTTCCTCTCCCTTGCTCTCTGATCTCTTAGTCCATAGCTCTGGACAAACAAACCTGGGTCCTTTGCTCCAATGGCTTGATTTGGGTACCTCTCTCCAGGTTGGCTGTGTGAATGTTCAAACTCCATGCACATGAGCTGATGGTCCTAGAGATTTTCCCTTCTGTTTCATTCCCTCTAAAGAGACCATGATGTACCCTAAGCCTTAAGGCAGGGCTCGAGGACAGTCATACAATTTCTTTTCTCCCAGGTTTCCTGGCCTGAGTCCCTTGCAAAGGGTTTTTTTTGCAAGTCCCTTGCAAAGGCTGTTTGGAGCGGGCAATAACCTGTGCCTTCTCAGTTCAACTCTGGCTTAGGAGTGGGTGTTTCATGGACCACTTCATGCCCCTGGCAAGCAAAGTGCTGAGCCCCTGGGGCCAGAGCTGAAGAAGGCAGCCTAGAGCCCTTGTCCTTTCTTTTACTCCCATTCCTAATTATACTGGTTAGCATTAGGGTCAGATGACAGTGACAAAATGAAATAAAATAAAACTACAAATAAGAGTAACTTAATAAGGAAGTACTCAAAAAATGATGGGGACCTGTCAAAAGAACATACTACCCAATTTATAAGGGCAAATCTGAGCATCAAAGTAAATAATGACAGTAATAGATTATAAATAGATTATTTAAAAACTAAGAGTCCACGTTTATAGAAATAAATAAAGGAGAAAGGAAAGCCCCTCCTTACATTTGAATGTCAACTAATAAATGTAGAAAGAATGATGGAATTAGCAAATCATCATTTGGCAACTAGAATAATAATAATCATTCTTTCAGGCAAGAATCATCAGTGCATGCTAAAGCTGGTGGACGCAGGATATTTATATAGTTTCAAAGTATCTCTCTGTGAAATATTTTTGAATTACCGAGGGGGGGATGGTCATTTTACAGTTGGCTAACACAACATTGACCAAGTGATCAGTTACCGTACCAGCAATGGAACAATCAACGTCATGTACCTCCTTATTCGCAGAAAGAGGCACATGCAGTTCTGTGATATTCCTGCCAAAGTAATGACAATAATAATTAAAATAATAATCAGGGCAACAGCAACATCAGTGGCTTAAACAAGATGGACGTTTATTTGTCTCTCACATAAAAGTCTAGGTCCCCTGTGGTGCTCCATGTTGCCAGGTTCCCAGTTTCCTTGTGTCTTCCTTCTCCACCATGTGTGACCTTGACCTCCAAGCCCAAGACGGCAGCATTCATGTTCCAGATCCCAGGATGGACTAAAGGATGAAGGAGAAAAAGCAGAGTCTGTGTGCACCCCATCTGCTCACATCCCTTCAGCCAACTCACTCACATGGCCACACCTAGCTGCAAAGGAGGCTGGGAAATGTAGTCTTTGTTTAGGGCAGCCATGTGCCCAGCTAAAAAAAATCTGTTACTCTGAAGGAGTTAATGGGTATAATGGGCACAGGAAGACAGCTAATATCTTCTGAAACACTGGCATTCTTTTGTTTCAAGATAACCTGCTTCTACATGTCTGGTTCTTTTTATTACAATCTAAAATCCAGACACCCTACAACTTACTGTACACCCAACACACTCACGTGTGCGGGAGCCCAGAGCCCATATCCTGCAGTCCTTGATCCCCACACAGGCCTGGGCGTGTCTGACGTCTGTGCTTGTGCACAACTGTAAGTCTGTACAGCATTTCCCATGAGGAGGGGCAGTTGCCCATGGAAACATCTCCGTCTCTATGCTTCCTGAACTGAGATGACTGGAATGGCCAACTTTTGTTCCTTTCCTTTCTAGATAAGCAAGTTAAAATGCCTCTGGTGAACAGCCATGTTTCTTGACCTTGGGCTTTTTCAGAGCTCTAGGTAAAAGAATAAACTTGGGGCTTTTTTTTAGATTAGCCCAGAGTAGCAAAATATGCAACACTTCTCAGTGAGGAGCCTGAGGGACAGATAGCATTTGCCAAGAAGGCACTAGGATGCTACAGGCTGCCCTTGCCAGCCAAGTGCAAAAGAGCTATCAAAGTTTTGTCCTCCCCTCCCTGCCCCCAGCTCCACCTCCATGAGGATGTGGGAGTTACAGTCCTGAGTTGGGAAGAGACTGGGAAGTTCCTATCCTTTTGGATCTATAAAATCTTTCTGATTTTATCTCTCCAAGCCTGGCTTAGCCTAGCTACATGATTCCTATATTGTGGTGGAGGTGGGAAGGGATTAGGGGTGCCATGCAGATAATAAAATTTTTTGAGATTTTAGCCAACAGTCTGCATCTTCTGTTTTCTTATTCTTGTCACTTCAGGACCTCGGGGGCCTTGACTGTGAAGTGGAGACAGGTCCCACAACACACAAGGTTTCTCCTCTGCCGGAAATGGCTAGCCCTCCTTCTCTCTCTCTGCCATCAGCAAACCATTCACTCTGAAGAACCAGCTCCGGTGAAGCCTCCCTGGATGCCCCCCAGTCCCCTAGCACCCTGCAAGATGACAGTGCAGGGTGGAGCTCAATCTCTTGGGCTCTGGAGCTACACTGCTTGGGCCCATAACACTGGTTCCACTACTTAGTAGCTGTGTATCTTTGAGAAAGTCTGTGCCTCCGTTTTCTTACCTGTAAAATAGAGACTCAAAATAATACCATCCACATGGGGCTGCTGTGAGAATTAAGTGAGTGTTACATGTCTTAAATGTGGCTGACCTCATAACGGCATTATTTGCAATGGCCAAAAGGTGGAAACACACAAGTATCTTTAACATACTTTTAAAAGAATTTATTTTGGTTATCTAAAATTCAATTAACTGGACATCCTGTATTTTTATTTGCTAAGTCTGCCAACCTTAGTCTAGAGGCAATGGTATATTCAAGTTGACTCATATCAGCTCATGAGAGCCAACTGTAAAATTTTTAGGAGTTTTATGAGCTGGTTATGAAGCTACTGGTAGCTTGAAATCAACCATGGTAGGAATATTTACACCATAGAAATTGGCAACTGCCACACATCACTGCTTTTCCTTTTATAGAGCTGGTTGTGAAACATCTCCCAATACACCACCGTCTAAAGGCTTCCTTGCCTTTAATGTCCTGGGTAGACTCTGAAACCTGCCCCTCATGCTCTACAGTTGCACGAGGGTCAGACAGTGTCTAAGGGTAGCTATAAGGCTTAGTATGTTAGAAAATGGAATGTACCATTCCCAGAATCCTAGAGCAAAATATGTTGGAAACTTAGAATTCTAAAACAAGGATTTTAGAATCTCGGAATTTCAGAAGATGGAATGTTAATGTTGGAAGCAAATGCTGTTAGACATTATCCATTCCTAACCCTTCTCTAGCACATAGATGGCGGAAGCCTCAGACCTCTGGCTGGCCCTCCTGGCTTAGGGCCCAAACCTCTCCCAGGCCACAATGAAGCAGACCCCACTGCTGGCAGTGCTGGGGGCTGAGTAGCTCTGGGAACTGTGCAGGAGTTGCCCGATGTCAAGGCCAGCGTCACAGTCCGCTCCAACTCCTCCTTCTCTAGGACCATGCAGGAGCACTCACACTTCCCCACCATATAGGATGAAAGAGATCCCAAACGTGACCATGGTCACCAGGTGGCCACTTGGCTTGAGCAGCAAGGTGAGGTTGCACAACGCAGCGCAGTAGACGCTGAGGCTACAGCAGGGGCACTCCATGGCCAGCAGGATGAGCCAGTTGGTGGGAGGCAACACAGCCAGGGCCAGCGGGTTACACAGATGGACATAGCACTTGAACACTCGCTTCACCATGGCCCTCACCTTCTCCTCCTTCTCCTGCCACCGGCTGCTGCAGAGAGAAGGTGAGATTCAGGGAAGGCACTTTAGGGTCCCAAAGGGAACTCTCAGTCCACTGTGACCAGCAGATGGAGGTGATCTCTGGTTCTTCAAAGGATTGCTGTCTCTGAGGCCCTGTGTGGCCTGATAGGCTCTTCCTCAATCTGAGCCTCAGTTTCCCCAGCAGGAAAGTGGTCAGGAAGAGTGGACCAGAACAATTATAGGAATCCTCCTCTCTCTGGTTCCCTATGAGTCCCCATCCCTTAATCCCCAGGAAGAACAAAGAACCCTAACATTCAACAAACGTTATTGGATGAATGGATGGATGAATTAATGAATTTGCTACATGTAATGTATGAATATAGCTATCTTAAAATATAATGTCAAGTAATTAAAAGCAAATCCTAGATGATAACGTACAGTGAATTACTGTTATAAAGTTCACAGGTGACTAAAACTAAAAAGCGGATTGTTCAGACATACATAAATAAATTATTTTTAAAAAGCAAGGGAATGATAAATATAAAATTAATATTAGCGATAACTCAGGTGGAGAAGGCAGGGGGCAAGGGATAGGGGAGAAGCACAGGTAGTCTTTGTTGTCTCTGACTACTCAGGTGGGGGGGTGGGTTCATGTCACTATATGTCATATGGTCACACCAGGTACAGACAATAGAGGGAAGAGGGACAGATGGATGGATACATAGATGATAAGTAGATATGTAGATGGAAGGAAGGAAGGAAGGAAGGAAGGAAGGAAGGAAGGAAGGAAGGAAGGAAGGAAGGGGGAAGGGTCTTATCATCTCATCTTCAGTGGTCATACTTGTCTATATCACATCTCAACACAGTCCCGTGATCAGAAACTTGCTCCTAAAACTGCTGTAATTCTAAAACTTGGGGGTCCATCTACTCTAAATTGGGGTCCATCCAATTTTAAAACTTGGAAATTCCCACCACAGAGCACCTGGTCCTATTCTTGAGGAGCCTGCTCTCCTGAAAATGTTAAGGACAACCAAGAGGCCAGAGAGCCCTCTGAGAAAGGGGGTGATGTCCAGCCCCCAGGGATCCCCAGCCCCAACCCCTGCGCCCCTACCTGTTCCCTTCCAGCTCACAGGCAAATCGCACTGCCGGGTCCAGTCATGGGTCCCAGGTTCCTCCCTCAGCCACTTCCGCAGCTCCTCACGGTAGTGGTCAGTGAAGTTGGAGAGAGTGACGTCTCTGAAGGACTCGCAGGCGGCAAGGGCTTGGTAGATGGTAGGACCTGAGCCGGTATCAATCAGCGCGTCCCCTTGGCCTCCTGTGGGAGGGAAAGAGATCGCTGACACTGGTGAGGGGCAGGCAGCTGAAAGAAATGAGACCTGAGACAGAGAGGCAAGGAGGACACACACCCTGGTCTTCCCAAGGGGGGCGCAGCGCCAAGCTTGCCGGTTATCACAAACATACTTGATGCCTTCCTGTAGGCCAAGCCTGTTGCTAAATATTTTATATACATTCATTTCTATTTACACCTTAGAACCACCCTGTGTAGTGACTACTATTATTATTTCCATTTTACAGTTAGAAACCTGAGTCTGAGAAAGGTTAAACACCTAGGCCAATGCCTTTTAGCCGAGAGCACATGCACCAAGCCCCCAGGACAGAGAACAGGAGCCCCAGGCCCTGCTCTGGAGACCATCGGGCTGGAGCGCTCAGAGAAGACTGGCCTCGGGCAGTGGCCCTTTAGGTTCCAGGCTGACTCTGAGCAGGGGGCCATCCTGGATGTCTAGGCCTGCCCAGATGAATTCCTCACTAGAAGGCAGGGAGGGAAGCAGGGGCCTGAGGAGGAAATGTCCAGGGTCACCTGGAAGCTGGAGTAAAGCATGACTTCCACCAGGCTGTCTGGAGCCATCCCTCAGCCCTCGGGGCTCGTACCCAGCCAGGCCATTTTCTGATTTCTGCCTGCCCCACCTGCCGGCTCCACCAGGCTCACAGGCTCTTAGCCCCTCCTAGCCCAGGCCACCAGGACGCTCACCCTCACTGTTCCCTTGTCAAGTACCCAAAGTGAGGACATAGTTGCTGGAGCCAGGAAACACAACCAAACCATGGAGTCACCATGGGATGATCATCCGGAGGCAGACAGAGGCCATGATCCATTGCACAGATAAGACTGCACCCAGCACTCCTGATCCCAGTGCAGGGCTTCTCCAGGCCCCCATCACAGCCACATCTGGGCTACACACTCCAGGCCTGGCCACAGTCCCACTGTTTGCCTTTGGCCTTCTCAGAGCCCCAGAGGCCTGGCCAGCAAGGGCAGGGCTGGACTTGAGGACCTGGAGAGCCTTTTCCCTGCCCCACCCCAAGGACCTCGGTGCTGACCGAGAGCAGTGTGGAAACTGCACGGGGCTCTCCCCTGCCCTGTGTGTCCCGATCCCTGGGCTGGCACATATCTCTGGAGTGACCGGGAGACAGACCCGACCTCCACCGTAACAGCACCCAAAGAGAGGGGCAGATCCCACCCTGCCAGCGCCCGGCAGCCCCGAGAGGAGACCAGGCTGCACCTGGGACACCTCCCCGTGCCCGTGCAGGGAGCTTTGAAAGAGGCTCAGGGAAAGGGCCACCCCCTGCCCACCTGGATCAAAGGTCTTGTGGCACCCTGATCTTGGGAGAAGGGCCACCATCGAAGTCAACGTAGGTGGCCAAGTAATCCTGGGGGAGAAAGTGCTCTTGGTACTCTTTGCCAGGCCCCTCCTGCCACACTGACTCGCCTTAACTGAAATTCCTCCAATCCCAAAGCCAGGGCAGCTGAGGCTGCAGCCACCTGGCTCTGCTTCCTCTAGGGACCGACCCCTGTCCGTCAGGGGCAGTTGATGGCACCCAGCCCTGGGTGCAGCTCTCAACTCCCCCAGCCACATACTGCTGTGTGACCTCAGGCAGGTGTCAATTTCCCCATCTGTGTACCCACTTCACTGGCTGTGAGGACCAAAGTCACTTCCCCTGGGTCACAGCTGTTGTGGCCTGAGTACATGGTGAGGTCTGCAGCTGGTCCTCTGGTGGCCAGTGGGGCCTAGTGACTCTCTCCAGGCCAGGCAGTGGGCTCAGCTCCACACACTCCCAGACTTCTTGGAGAACAGGGCTAGGATTCTAGAAGTAGGAACAGAATGGCTGACCCAGCATTGCTGTGAAAGCCACGGTGAGGAGGTCAGAAATTATCCCTCACTTTCCATGGGTGAGAACCAGGGAGCCCAGTCATAAAGCGTAACCCGTCAGAGCAGCCCTGGAGTCCTGGCTTCTTGGCTGCTGACTCGCCACCTGGCCCCAGATAAGTCGCCCTCAGGCTTCAGTGTTCTTACCTTTAAAATGGGAGTGTGTTGTAAAACCTCCCACAGACCGAGAAAAGCTCAGCCTCCTTTCGGCACTAGGAACGGGCTCTCTCTTGGCCACAAACCAGATGGAAATGAATCTGCTACACTGGAGGTTCATGCCGCTGACCCAGAATGTCTTTTTTCAGCTTTAAGTAAATAAACATAAACAAACATTTCTGACTTCATAGGGTCGGGCAGACAGAGGCCTCCACAGAGGCAGGGACACCCAGCAGTCATTCAGGGCCTGGCTTCCGCGGGGTGGGCGCCTGGACATCCCCCAGGGAGGCCCAAGAGACACTGGTGCCAACCCCCAGAAGGTACTCAGGGCTGGAAGCTGCAGGGCTCATGGTACATAATTTGAGAAGTGTTTCATAAAAGGATGGTGCCAACTAACCAAGGTGTGGGCAGGGTTGAAGGCAGCCACGAGGTACCTCTATTGGTCAGGGCTCTCCAGAAAAACAAAACCAATAGGATGTGGACGTGGCGAGAAAGAGATTTATTTCAGGGAATTGACCCCCATGATTGTGGAGGCTGGCAAGTCCAAAATCCGCAGGGTAGGTCTGCAGGCTGGAGAACCAGGAAAGGCCAATGCTGAGGTTTGAACCTGGAGGTTCATCTGCTGCCTGGATTCCCTCATGCTCAGGGGAGATCAGTCTTTTGTTCTACTCAGACCTTCAAACGATTGGATGAGGCCCACACACGTTAGGGAGAGTGATCTGCCCTACTCCAAGTCCACTGATTTAAATGTTAACTTCATCCAAAAACACCCTCACAGAAACATCCAGAATAATGTTGGACCAAGCATTTTGGCGATGTGGCCCAGCCAAGATGACACGTAAAATACACCGTCACAGTACCTTGGGGCTGGCCATGGAAAGGACCCGTTATCCACTGAGACCAGAGACAGGGCTGTGTAGGGAGGGCCTCCTGCAGCAGCCATCAGCAAAGAGGCTGAAGAATAAATACCCATAAAACACTCTGACATCCCTGTCGTACCTCCTTCCAATATCCTGCCAAATCCCGCTGAAACCCAGAGGGGAAGGGAGCCTCCAGGGCTCACAGCAGCCTGGAGAAGGATGGAGAGCGGATATGGAGAGGCACATGGAAGATGCCCAGCATTTGCATTTCCAGAATTGAACTGTGGATGTGCGTGTACTCTCTGGGGGTACCCAGAGCCCCTGCAGTGGGATGCAGGCATCTAGGGGTCTGCGGCAGACTAGGAGAAACCATCCTTCCCAGAACTACACACCCTGCTGCAATTGGATGTCCTTGGGTGGACATCCAATGAGCGAGGATGCCCCCGTCGCTCAAGGCCTCCAGTGCCTCCTGCTGCCTGGAGGAATGAGTACAAACTCCCGCCGGGCCTTCCAGAGCCTCTGACCTTTGGCTTCAACCTGCTTCTCCCCGACTTTCACCTTCTCTGTCCCAGCATAATTCCTGTCTCCAGCCTGGGCAGGTGTCCTAACAGCACTAGGGTGATCTGCTCAAAGTCAAGTCTCCTATGGATATGTTCTAAGAAAGGGTTTCTCAACCACAGTACCATTGACTTTCCAGGCTTGCTAATTCTTGGTGGGGGTGGGGGTCCCCAACGGTGCCTTGTGGGAGTTTTAGCAGCACCTCTGGCCTCTACCCACTAGATGTCAGTACACCCCCAAGTTATGACGACCAAAATGTCCCCAGACATTGCCGAATGTTCCCTGGGAGGCAAAATCATGCAAGGCTGAGAACCGCTGTCCTAAGGTTTGCCTCCATCAATCTGACAACATTTTTTTCATGACAAGGCAGTTTCTGTCCCTTTTGCGAATGTGTGCATCATTTTAGGAATCTTTCCATAGGGTGACCTTTTAATAGCTCAAGGAAATTTCCATTCGAGGGGACTTCTAACTTAATTTTAATCGGATGAATGAATTTCAAGCTACCTATGAAGAAAATAAAGCACTTGAAAAGTCAGACACGTAAGAAAAGGACCAATCTCCTTTTCGAGATTAGGAGAACTACCATCTCAGCATTCCATGCTTCCTGCAGCCTCTGTTCATCTCTCCTCCTGCCTGACCCTGGGGAGAGAAGAAGGAGTCCACAAGAGGGAACGTGCAAGTGCAAACAAGACTCTGTTTTCTCTGGTGAGTTGCAAGCAGCTGCTCCGAGCCCTCCCTTGCACCAAACAACAAAATAAAGGCTAAATATTTTTTTGAAAATCAATCAAGAAGCTATCACAATTTATTAAATTTCTAGGTGGGAGAGAATTTTCTAAACTTAGAAGAAAGCCCAAAGAAAAAAAATTAACAAGTTTATTTTATTATTATATATCACATTTTCTTAGAGAAAATTAAACATTTGTCCTAAAAAAAAATGAGAAGGCAAAAAAAATTGTTTTCCTTTTGGAAAAATAATTTGGCAATTGTTTGCCTAAATTATTTATACTAAAAGTGTTTAAACCTGGACCCAGTAATCCCACAATGCCACAGTCTAAGATAAAATACAGAAAAAGCTAATGCACAAGGTATTGATTACAATTATTTACAAACAATGGAACTGCAAGGCTTTACTTGCTAACCACTAGGGAAGCCATTAAATGAACCTTACTTGAACAGACACCAAAAATGACATTCCTGAGACTTTTTGTTTTAATTTAATTTAATTTTTTTTCTTTTGAGACAGGGGTCTTGCTCTGTTGTCCAGGCTGGAGTGCAGTGGCATATTCATAGCTCACTGTACCCTCAAACTCCTGGGCTCAAACGATCCTCCAGCCTCAGTCTCCAAAGAGCTGGGATTACGGGTGTGAGCCACACACCGGCCCATAAATGTACACTTTACAGAACTGCTCATCACGCCAGGATAGCCTCTGAGGGAGGGCAGCACTGGGCAGAGCAGCAGGAGCCGGCCGTCCTCCAGGACAGAGCCAACAGGGTGGAGCAGGAGGGACCAGAGGGCTGGGTCTCAGGTCACCTTGCAGATTTGCTGGGGTTGGATGTGAAGGAGAGTAAAGAGTCGAGGGTACTCCACATTTTTGGCTGAACCACAGGAAGGATGGGCGGGGCCAATTCCAGGAGAAAGACACCGGGAGGAGTGGGTTTAGGGGAGCAGATGAAGATGTCTCAGCTGGGGTGATGTGGCGAGGGGGAGATCCAATGGAAGCAACTGGATGTGTGTGGGGACACTGAGGAGACCCAGGGCTGGAGACTTAACTCTGGGAGTCTCCGTGGCAGCTGAGACCACTGGTGCTGAGTGTTGGTGGGAAGGGGAGGAGAGGCCATGTTTTACATCAGGGAGAGGACGAGGTGAACAGAGCATGTGCACCCCAGGAAGCCAAGCAAAGAAACATTTTCAAGATGTGGGAGTTCCAACATGGGGAACCTGGAAGACACATTATGCTAAGTGAATGAGCCCCAAATACTGTGGTGGCTCAACGTATATGAAATATCTAGAACAGCAATTCTTAGAGACAGAAAGTAGATTAGAGGTTACCAGGGCTGTGGGGAGGGAATGGGAGTTATTGCTTAATAAGTCCAGGGTTTCTATTAATATGGTGGTACAAAAGTTTTGGAAATAGGCAGTGGTGATGGGTGCAATTAAGTATCACCTAATTATACACTTAAAATGATCAAAATGGCAAATTTTGTTAACAAATTAATAATGCAATATACCAAAACTATGGAATTGTTTTAAAAGGAGGCCAGAGAGAAGCAAGGACGGGAGGAGTCAAATATCCAATCCACTGTCACCTACAGCTGTGTAGACCTGAGCAAGGCTGTGCCTCAGTTTCTTCATCTGTGTAATGAGGGAAATAATATCTCCCTCAAAGAGTTGCTGAACAGGTTGAATCAGGGGCTTTGCCCAGACGATGGTGGTGGGGGCTGGGGACGGTTGTCATAATCATCACATCACCCCTGTGACCCTTCCCCACAGGAGCAGGTGGCAGGACAAGGAGGCCCGGCTTCCAAGGAAAGTCACACGGTTGCTGAAGCGCAACGTGTCTAAGCTACACCCACTGGCCCAGGTGCCTCTGGCCGACTGTGTGCTCTCTCCCTGCTGGCCCTGGAGCCCCCTGTCCTGACGTGGACACACATGGGGCAGCCCTGCCAGGCCTGGCCAGCCTGCTGAAGCCGGGTGGGCGCCTGGTCACTGCATCTGCCCTGTACTGCACAGTGGGCTCCGAGAAGTCCTTTAGGCTCCCCCCGGAGAGGGAGACGGTGCAGAAGGCTGTAGAGGAGGCTGGCTGCTGGGAGCTGAGGTGTGACTACCACCCCATCCACTACTCCGAGGCCTGCTCCGTCAACGAGGGCATCGGTTTTGTGGTGTCTGAGGCCAGCCTGGCAGCAGAGGGCCTGCCCCAGAGGGGAAGCCATGACCAGGGTTTCTAGAACCTTGTTCCACAGCCCCCCTGAAAGCAGGTTGACCCTTAGCTCTACCCCTTCATCCCTGTTACCTGGTCCCAAGGTACCCAAGGTGAAAAAAAAGGTCTCTCTGCGCCCATCACAGGGACCTGTTCCGCACGCCCCTTTCTTGCCACCTGTACCAAAGATCATGAAAATAAAGTGACTTAGCTGGATACTGTCTTGGTTTGAATCCCCCAAAAGCAGACGCTGAGACAAGGGTTTGAGTGCAGACAGTTTATTTGAGGGGGGATCCCAGGAAGCAGCAGCTGGGATGTGGGGAAGCAGGC